AAAAAACTCTTTATTTCATTACATTTTATCATTCTAAAACCTATGCATCTCTATTTTCTATTTGGCTATAATGAGGGTTTCAAAATTAAAATGAAAAAATCTAAGTAAAATTGCTATTCAAAGAATCCTACTGTCACAGTACCCATGTGACTAGTGATCGGATATATACATACATATTGATTGAATATTGTAATCAGGATTTGTATAAATAACATAATTTAGGTTTGTATAAAATTAATTAAAAGTCTGTAATACTGATTGCATGAGTGATAGATAAGTAAGTAATAATCAGTAATGCAAAATATATATTAGTAATTAATAATATAAGATATCGATCCCAAATAGGAAAGAAAGAGCTTTGGTAGTTTTGAGAACTTTGGTTCTCATTATCTCTTTGAGTTATTATTAGTTTTATTTATGTATATATGTATATTATTATTGTACCAGTTCTTGTATATATTAGCCAAATAGATAAAGACAAATAGTAAAGTCAATAAATACAATGTAGTTAGGTAAACTCTGTGACACTACTTATTTTCAAAATATGTTACTTATTTATTATAATTTTAAAATCTTCAAATATATATTTGTCTTTTAATTGTCTTTATTATGCATAATTATGTATGTTTTATTTAATTTTTTTTAGTTCGATCATGATCAATTAAGTACTGGTACACAATTATTGATAATACTATATTTGGTTATGTACTTTTGCTTCAATAATACTTAAATATTTTGTTGAAGAAATATTTTAAACTTGTATTGAGATAGGTTTTGCATTGATATTAAGTTATCTGAAATATACTTGACTAAAAATTAGTATCTAAAACAAATTGTATTAGTTACTAATTTTAAATAAGCATTACTTCGGGTATTAATTTAATTATACACTTTAAATTATAGCTATCAAATATACTAATCTTGTAAAAGACTATTTAAAGACCATTTTTACTTTTATTGATACTCATAATAATAAAACCCAGATCTTGTTTACATTGTGGAAATATTAAGAATCCTAAAGAATTTAGTTTTTATAAAACTGATTATTTTAAGACATGCAAAGTTTGTTATCAAAAACTTGATTTACCTTCAGCAAAAGATCAAAATAATGAAATTAAGTTTTATCAAAATAACGAGAATGATTTCTTTTAAATGATATATTTGAATTAGATAATTTAGAAGAGTTTATTTCAACTAAGCTTGAAGTATGTGAAAATAATGAAAATAGAATTGAAATAAATCTTTGTATAATTTTACAAAGTGAAAAATTTAGTAATATGACAGTAGATCATATTTTTCAAGAAATCATTAATATTATTCAAATTGCTAATGGTTATAAATGGAATTATATGCATTATTACAATAATGTTGGTAATAAACAAACATGATGGTATACATGTTTTCTTTCTGCTCAAAGAGATTATTCAGAACCAAATCCTCAACATATACACAATAAACAAAAGTGATTTACATGCCAAGACTTAAAATGAATTATTATAAATTTAGAAACAATGATTGCACATATTTATTTATGTTATTATGAGCTTCATTTATATCCAAAAATAAAAAAATGTTGATAATGAAGTAAAAGAATTTATTAAAAACAATGTGCATCTTAATTCAAAACAACTTTGGGAGCAATTGCAATATTAATTAAATATATTAATACAAAAGCAAGTTTATTTTTGTAGACTACATATTACTGAGAACTTTATCTTCGTAATAATAATCAATTTACTTCAGCAACCAAGAAAATGAAAATTATTCATTATTATATAGTAATCAAGAAGATAGACTTTTTGAAATTGCATTTATTATATTTATTATATTTTAAGTATAAGAAAGTAGCTATAGATACTACATATAAAGCAAATAGTGCAGAATTCAAGCTTTATATAGTTATAACAAGCATAGAAGGTGTTGGATATTTACTATCTTATTTAATTTTAAATTCATTAATTTCTATACAAAACAAGCATACTATAGCACTAATTAATTATTTAAGTGCATTACAAAAGTATGGTATTAATCCTACTTTTTTTTTTACTGATAAGGATTTCGCACAAATCAATGCTATTAAAACAACTTGGCCTTGTATAAAGTTTCAATTATGATTATAACATTTACGTTGTGCAGTTTTATGTCGGCTATAAAAAAAAAATGTTCTACAAAAATAATATATAACTCAGAAAATATACACAAAATCTTTAACTTTATTGATTCCAAATTTAAATTATTAGTATTTGTGCAATATTTTTTTTTTTTTTTTTTAAACTTTGGCATATCTTGCCAGGTATTATTTTAGTAATTAATTCATGTGTACAAATGATGCTAGCTAACTAATATAGATAGTAAGTGATAAACTCTAAGCCT